AAAGAAAATTAATGACAATATTTCACTAGAATCTCACTGAGATCTTTGAACAAGACCAACCACAAATCAAGATCAGAGATTCAAGTTTGGATAGCTGAGTTAACCGGGTGTTAAGTAAAGCCGAACCTCCGGCTACAGCAAGAAGTGAAACATTTAGCAACAGTATTACTACCGTTACCAAATGTGAAAGCTTCCTGCTCTAGCTGGTTGTTAGGAAGCCTGTGGCCACTGGCATCCAAACAACCAGTGAGTGTCATCCTTGTCCAGCCAATTCTAGTTGACAGCAAAATGTTAACAAAGGAGAGGAGAAATAGGCTGGTGTATATACTGTATATAAAAAAAAAAATCCAAACCAGATTTTTTTTTTTTAATTTCCTCTATTTAAAGCTATACCAAACCCTGATCTAAAAAATGATATAGAAATAGATGAAGGAAATCCATGGCTATTTGTTTACAAACAGAAGGAAGCAGCTGGGGGATGCCAATTACCAGCAGTAAACGTTACTGTAGTAGGTGGTATACAGTGTACAGAGGCATCACTTTATAGGCAGGTTCACGGCATCCCCAAAAGCATGTTGTTTAACACCTCGCCGTTGTGACTGGGAGTCATGTGACGTCCTGTCAAGACGAGCCGCTCACGCGGATACGGGGTCATGCAGTGGCACGATCTGTCACTGGCTGTGTCCACGGGACACAGCCGATAACATATCACTACACCGGCCCGTTGCCAGTGTCATGTGACCACTGTGACCAATCACAGCAGATCACATGTCCATTGTATACAATGGATGGCTTCCTGTCATGCCATTCATTGTATACAATTGTGTTATTAGCTGTGATTGGTCAAAGCAGTCATATGGTACAGCCAGGGCCAATCACATCCCATCTGTATCATGTGATTAGCTTTGCCCAGTCACAGCTAATCACAGCAAAAGACTGAATGAATCAGTTTCATTCAGTAACAACGATTGCAAATATCAATGAAATACATTGGTATAAGCAATCACAATGTGTAAAAAGAAAAAAAAAATCCTGATCACTTGCCCAGAGTAGTTCATTGATACTATGGTAACATTGTATTGCTTTGGTCACAGTGTGCTGAAAAATAAAATAGTAAAAAAAAAGAAAAAAATGTAATAAAAAAAAAAATACAAATTAAATTATTATTATTATTTTCACCAAAGAAATGTAGCAGAATACATTTTGATGTAACTTTTTGAAGAAAAGTTACTTCTTTGCAAAATTTTATAACAGAAATAAAGAAAAGTGCTTTTTTTTCAAACGTTTAAGGTGTTTTTTGTTTTATTTAGCAAAAAATAAAAAGCACAGTGGTGATTAAATACCACCAAAAGAAAGTTCTATTTGTGTGAAAAAAAATGATAAAAATGTCATATGGGTACAGTGTTGCATGACCGTGCAATTGTTATTCAAAGTGCGACAGGGCTGAAAGCTGAAAATTGGCCTGGGCAGGAATTGGGTATAAGTGCCCAGTATTGAAGTGGTTAAGGGAATTGGACATTTTTTTTTTCATTTTAAGCATTAGTAAAGTTGCTGCTTTCTGCCAAAGGGAATTTTAAAAAAGTGATGTTACTTTGGAACTTGTTGCCTAGGGCAGTGCCCAGCCCTCATTACCTTTGTTTGCCAATCCCCTGCCTTTTCGCCTAGAAAATGTTCATTACTGATATCTGAGATTTGTCCCACATTGATTTCAGTGGGGTTCAGACTGGGCATCCAAACACTGGTAACGTTAACTTGGTGCATTAACATGAAGTAGCTTTCTCAGTATGGCATTTGAAACAAGAACTATATGATTCAATGTCTTTGTACACAATTGGGAAATAATTTTAAACTTAAAGTAGATAAAACCCTAATCAGTAACATCTAATATACAGCAAGTTGTTCAATAATCAATTCTAAACCCCAATAGAGAGAGAGAAAGAGAGAGATAGTGTATATTGCAGCTTACCAGTCTTTAGATGTATTAGATGAATCCATTTTTTAAGGCTTCTTTCCAATTGTGTTCACTTAGTAATATAATAGACATGAGCGATTTGTTTTGTTACAAATCGAAATTTGGATGTCATTTTTTTTATTTGGAGATTCAGATGTATCCAAATATTCAAATAACTAAAATAATGAATTTTAATGAATCTGAAATAAATGACAACAAAACAACAAAAATCATTTGTTTCATTCGGATGTCTGAAACATCTGAAATAATAAATGATCCAAACTGATTCGTTAATAGTTGGTTATCAAGGATTGGGCGGCCAGCCTCCATGTCCTTAACAAACATGACCCTGCTGCCATCAAAAGGTGATAACGCCCCCTATGATGTTATGGCCGGGGGTCTCTGAGTGATGTCATGGGGACCTGATCACCCTGTGATTTCACCAGGTTTCCCCACCCCCATGTTTACGTAGCAATGGGGAAAATCGGCTGTCATCTGTTAGTGTCTCTTGATGGGACTGGTCAAGTTTGGGAGGCTGCAGGATTTTTCTTTTGAGCGGGTTGGCGTTCATTTTGATTGATGCTGGTTTTACATCAGGAAACATGTTTACTTATTTGTATTAATAAAGGACTTGTCAAAAACTGTGTTTTTTATTTCCTTCTGACTTTTTTTTTGGTGAATGAGTAGGGGCTTCCAGATTCTGATAAGTCACCCCTCGCACCCCCACAATCACCAAGCTAGGATTGTGGGGAAGAAGCCCTAGCCCTCACCAACATGGGGACAAGGTGCTTTGGGTGGGTGGGAGCCACAGCACCCACCCATGTTGAGGGCAAGTGGCCTGGTATGGTTCAGGAGGAGGGGTGCTTGCTTGTACCCCCCTTTCCTGGTCTGTCATGGCTGTCACCAGGGCCTGGTATGGATTTTGGGGGGGGACCCCATGCATTTATTTTTTGCATGAGGTCCTCCCTAAAATCCATACAAAACTGAAAGGCTGGAATAGATCAGAGGGAGACTCCATGCTGTTTTTTCCTCAATGCCTCTTTTATTTACATTCTGGTGTTATGATTAGCCAGTTGCAAGCTGGTCACATGGAAGTCACAAGCAGCTTGCATCAAATTCACAAACAATTCACATAAAAGTTTCAAGCAAGTCACCAAATTAACATAAAGACCTATAACAAATAAATCTGAAATAAATTCTGAAAATAACAAATCGATTTGGAAATAACAAATATACGAAACAAATTCTGTAAACAAATCATTTCAATATAACAAATATGATGATATGAAATTATTTATTTAACAAAAGAAATCCAAAAATAAACAAATTTTTTCATTGTGCACATCTCTACTTGGTAATCTTGTGAAAAACACACTCCCTTTCCCTTCATTTTTACACTCATTTATCTGCTGTATCTATGGATGGGGCCATGTTTGTCACACAGGCTGAACTTTACGTTTAAAACATATCTGCCATTGCTCATTTCCATTACATGGTGGACTGATAGGACTAGTAGTTTACGCAAGAAAGACACGTGTATTATCTGGTCAAAAACGATCCACCGCATATAAAGATTAGTAGGCTGCAATATATAATTTTTTTGGTTTTGGGTTTAGATATGCTTTATTGTAATTTTAAAAGCTGCTTTGAATCCTGTCACTTTTACACAATAGGTCACAATAGGTCACCTTTCTTCCAACTCATGTTCTGAAAAATGATCTGCTGCAAGTATTCTACACTTCTAGGTATAAAGAATAACTGTCCCTCTACTTGGCCACTGTTGTTCCCAGAAGTTAGAACATCACTACAGAACAAGCAGAAAAGAGAAACCACAGCAATGAGACTCATCTGATATAATTAGTAAGATAAGGTTACGGTAAGTCAATCCGCTTCTTTCACAGATGAGCTATTAACCCCTTTGCGCCTAAGGGTAAAGCAGATGTTAATGCTTAAGCACAATTTTGCAACTTTGACATGTGTTAGTAAAACCTGTTCATATCATCACAACTACTTTGTGCAGCTAGGTGGATTATACCTTGTTTTTTTTTAGGACAAATTGGGCTTTAATCTGGTGGTAAATGGTAATGAATATTTTTTTACTATAAAAGGAAAACTGGCCCAAAGGAGTATTTAAAAAAAAAAAAATGTAGCTGTAAAGTTCTTGCTACTACCATAGCCTACCACCAAAGAACAACCCAAAATAAATTCTCCTGCTCCTGATGATCACAGTGATACCACATATGTTAGTTGTTGTTTGTACCCGTAGAACAGCCCAGAAACAGTATTGCGCATTATGCTTTTTTTTTTTTTTTTCATCCTACCTAAAACACACTGAGATTAACTGACGCTGATGCTAATTAAAAAAAAAATAAAACCTGCCTAAAAAAATACTGACCCTGACCTTGACCTTTGCTCCTGACCTTGACCCAAACATTAACCCTGGCACTGACCTAGATCAAACCTTGATCTAGGTATTTTTTATTTTATTATTATTATTATTATTAATAATAATAAAATTAGTATTATTATTATTTTTATTTTCAACATACTGTTATCTTTTTTTCTCTCTGAAAAGAGAGAGATAAAATGTAAAAAAACACGGGGGGGGGGGGGGGGGGGGCCTGGCTTCACAGTGAGTGATCACTTTGATAGCCAGTCAGATCCTATCACAGCAATACGGTGACCCAGAATTGGGAGTTTCAAGTCCCGATTGTTAGTATGGGATCCAGTGCTCTCAGTAAAACCCTGGGCTCTGTGCTGGGAGTACACCATGAGGCGCACTCCCAGCACAAAGACAGATACACAAATATGTGGCCCCATAGAAAAAAGCCCAGTCCAGTGGGGCCACATATTTGCATATGTATGGTGGGAAGGGGCTGAGTAAAAGTGACCCAGTGGTGATAGGGTCATTTAAAATCAGAAGTTTTTCATAAAAGTATACATGTTGATCCTGCAATGAAGATCCTTGTTCAGGAACTTCCTGTTATGAAGTGACAGCAGTTATTCAATGGTGCTCCTGCATTTTCATATGCACCCCTATTGTTAGCAGGGGCGGACTGACCATTGGGGAACTCAGGCACTGCCAGAGGGCCCGGGGTCAGTAGGGGGCCCATGAGATGTCCCTGATACCTTTCATAGGCTTTTTTGAGTGTGGTTTGAGTGTGGGCGAGGACACAGGGGCCCCATGATCCCCTATTGCCCGGGGGCCCCATGAGTTGTCAGTCCGCCCCTGATTGTTACTGTCAAAATTTGATTCAGAGCAATGATATGCAGCTGATGCTAGCTTTAGCTCATGTAAACAGGAAGTGGCTAACAAAATACTGGAGGACATCAGAAGCACTGAGATGCTAAAAATGATAAAAAAGGGTTGAAAGTGTATATTGTAAAAATGTCAGATTTTCAGAAGTGCAAATAAACAAGTTTTCTTTTTTGAATGTATTTTATGTTTAGCATTATGTAGTAGTTTAGTGCATTTTATTTAATAAAACTGTATTTTCTTCTAGAAGCTGAGTTTGTCTCTATTGGAGACAATAACAGTTACTGCAATTTCTCTGAATGTAATAGTCTCAAAGCCATATTCTACCCCATTTTAAATTAAATCAGAGGATGTTAATGCCATCTACTATTGATTTTTTTTAGGGGATCTTGAAATAAACCGTACTAAAATTAGATCCCCTACTATTTCATCCATTCTTTCCTCTGTAATCTAAAATTTATCTAACCGGTAATGATGATGCAGACATGTAAGGAATGCCCAGTTGCTTTGCTGTTATCTTAAGCTCTACATCTACATCCACCTGCAAATAATCAATATAAACATAATACATCTATTTCCTTTTTTATTCTAAAGTACTAATCCCTTCTTTTCTTAAATGCCATACTATCAGTTTTAATCTCTATGTTCATCTGGTTTTGAAGATGTTGATAGACTCATTACTAAATTCTAATCCAATCTATTCTTATATGCCATACTGACAGTTTTAATCTTTATATTCGGCTGGTTTTAACACCATCGATGGACTGACCACCTTCACCTTACGTCACTAATGATTTGTATTTGCTCTGGCATAAATCATTTGTAAGTCTGCTAAGCATTCTGTAACCTATAGATTGCAAATGAATGCTCCCAACACAGGGTGGTTACTGTGGGGACACAGTAAAAAGTCCAATGTGCCTTGTCCTAATATTAACTAATACAAATGAAGAAAAAAAGGCTTATGGACTTTATAGGCACTACAACAATAATTCGTAAAATGTAATGCTTTATTAAACATATACAAACACATACAGTGAGGAAAATAATTATTTGATTCCCTGCAGATTTTGTAATTTTACCGATTTACCAAAAATCTAGAAAATACACGTTATACAAATGTTCTAAACTGAGTTCAGTGAGTAAAATAAGTATTTGATCCCCAAGCAAAACATGACTTAGTAGTTGGTGGAGAAACCCTTCTTGGCAAGCACAGAGGTAAGACATTTCTTGTATTTAATTACCAGGTTTGCACACATCTCAGGAGGGATTTTGGTCCACTCTTTTTTATAGATCATCTCTAAATCCTTAAGGTTTCTTGGCTGTCGCTTGGCAACTCAAAGTTTCTGCTCCCTCCATACATTTTCTATAGGATTAAGGTCTAGATATTGGCTCCATGACCTTAATGTGCTTCTTCTTGAGCCACTCCTTTGTTGCCTTGGCAGTGTGTTTTGGGTCATTGTCATGCTGGAAGACCCATCCACAACCCATCTTCAGTGTTTTGGTTGAGGGAAGAAAGTTCTCATCCAAGATATCACAATACATCCTGACATCCATTGACAGCTCTTTGCCTATGATGATGAGGTTTGAATGGAAGAAAGAGATTCTGTGGACAGATGTCTTTAATATACATAACAAGTTGTCCTTTGGAGCACCTTCTTAAATTGACAGGACTAATCTGTGTACCACATAAGCCAATCTGTGGGAGCCATAATTATTGTTGATTCATAGCTGATCAAATACCTATTTTACTCACTGAACTCTCAACAACTCAATTTATAACATTTGTATCATGTGTTTTTTTCTGGAATTTTGGTTGATATTCTTTCTCTATCATTTCAAATACACTTATGATAAACATTATAGACCCTTCATGTCTTTGTAAATGGACAAACATACAAAATCTTCAAGGGATCGAATAATTATTTCCCCCACTGTATAGTATATGCATATATGAAATTGTTACAGAATATATCCTAACCCTGTAACATACAAAAAAATCAATGCAGATTCATATACTATTAGTAAACCCCACAATTTCAAAGATGTGCCGAATCTCAGAAATAACTAAGTGGGGGTGCTCTTTAAATAATAATCATAATGGCTCAACATGCTTCCAGATGATACTGCTTCTTCAAGAGCTGTAAGAAGATTTATAAATGAAAAATATAACATTGTGTTGATGAACAAATCAACACCCTATGTGAAATACTTACAACATACACATATCAGAACAGATGGTAATAGAATGGATATAATAATTCAAGATACATACATCTGCACATAGGCAATGGAGGGAAGCATCTGATAGCAGCATGAGTGGCCAATTGATGAGGGGATCCCAACAACACTGTAGAAGCAGGTAGCATACCCTATGACAGTACCTGGTGCGTAAATAGGTATATACGGATTGATGCTGGTATAATAAGGCCCTGCTAAATGGTTAATACCAAGGGATAAAACCCTTATGGTTAAATCAAGGGATAAAACTAACCTTCCATAATAGGGCCGCTGGCTATTGCCCTGGTAGAGAACCACCTGAGTCACCATAGAGGGGCCAATATTGTGTATATGGGTCTATAAGAAAAATACAGAAGGAAAAAAGGTAAATAATTGTTTGATTTGTGGGGCATATAGGCCCAAGCAGTCCACAGCTAGGACCCCGGTCTTGGGAAACTGGTAAGACAGCCAATAAAGGGAACAACACAAGTAACAGACCTTACTTACATATTCAGCAAAGGGTCAATTGCCCAGGATCAGCCCACCAATAGTGACTGGTTGCCTTAGTAATACTCTTTCTGGTGTGGGATAATGATCTGTATTATGGCTTTCCTGGATAGTAGATACCCTCTAGCCAATCATGTATTAATCTACAAAGAGACATATGTATATATAACCCCTTAAGCAAGCTCCAATGGTTAACATTTAACTCAATCTTATTAAAGCAAATGAAAAATCTACTATACCTATAGGAAGATATGGAAGATGTGCTGAATACAAAGCCCTCAAGATCTCTTCAGAGCCTGAAATGCCACCACCATGCCGCCGGGAGCCGCTACCTGCCTCCCCTATTTGAAGGGATCCCAACCCAGTAGTGTAGCATTTAAATGTTAAATCCAAAACACTTCTTTTTGCAATATGCGTTTATCCCAGTTACCGCTTCTGAGGTCCTTGGGAATTACTTCCAATACCATAAATGAAACCATAGTGGTATCAAATCTGTGATACAGGTCTTGAGGGCTTTGTATTCAGCACATCTTCCATATCTTCATATAGGTACAGTAGATTTTTCATTTTCCTTAATAAGATTGAGTTAAATGTTAACCGCTGGGGTTTACTTAAGGGGTTATATATACATATGTCTCTTTGTAGATTAATAAACGATTGGCTAGAGGGTATCTACTATCCAGGAAAGCCATAATACAGATCATTATTCTACCCCAGAAAGAGTATTACTAAAGCATCCAGTCACTATTGGGGGGCTGATCCAGGGCCTTTGACCCTTTGCTGAATATGTAAGTAAGTTCTGTTACTTCCGTTTGTGTTGTTCCTGGCTGTCTTATGAGTTTCCCAAGACCGGGGTCCTAGCTGTGGACTGCTGGGGCCCATATGCCCCACAAATCAAACAATTATTTACCTTTTTTCCTTCTGTGTTTTTCTTATATATACTTATACACAATATTGGCCTCACTAGGGTGACTCAGGTGGTTCTCTACCAGGGCAATAGCCAGCGGGTCTATTATGTTCAACTAATGGGCAGGTTAGTTTTATCCCTTGATTTATAATTGGTATTAACCATTTAGCAGGGCTTTATTATACCACCATCAATCCTTTTATACCTATTTATGCACCAGGTACTGTCATAGGGTATGCGTTCTGCTTCTACTGTATTCTTGGGATCCCCTCATCAATTGGATTCTCATGGTGCTATCAGACGCTTCCCTCCATTGCCTATGTGCAGATGTATGTATCTTGAATTATTATATCCATTCTATTACCATCCGTTCTGATATGTGTACGTTGCAAGTATTACACATAGGATGTTAATTTGTTCATTTTTATATTTTTCATTTAGAAATCTTCTTACATCTCCTGAAGAAGCAGTATCATCTGGAAACATGTTGAGCCATTATTATTATTTTAAAGGTACCCTTTCTTAGTTATTGCCGAGATGCTGCCCATCTTTGAAATTGTGGCGTTTTCTAATAGTATATGACTCTATATGACTATGCATTAATTTTTTTGTATGTTACAGGGTTAGGATATAGTCTGTAACAATTTTATATATGTATGTACTTTATATGTTTCTATATGTTTACTAAAGTGTTACATTTTGCAAATTATTGTTTTAATGTCTATAAAGTCTATAAGCCTTTTTTTCTTCATTTGTATTCTGTAACCTATGACAAGGACTATCCTTTGTCTTATGTCCTTTTTTTGCACATGATACCCAGGTCCATTCAAATTACCATTTTTGTTGGCATCTACTTATCTTGTTTTATTTAGTTCCATATTCTCCATATTCTTCATTGTTCATTCTTATCTTTTACACAATGTAACAAACTTGTATACACAGAAAGCATATATAGAAATGCAGTGGAGGATCCTGACACATATCCCCACTCTTAATAAAATGATAGGCAGATATTGCTTCCAAGGAGTTTAAAGAAATACCAAACTAGTGTAATGTATTACTAGAAATTAGTGAATTAATATAAAGTTTAACTAAACTTTTTTATTTCTTTGTTTTTTTTTCAGTTTTGGATAGAATGGAGAGGTATTTTATTGCTGTTTGTTTCCCTGTTAGGGAGATTTACCTTGTATATTTGTCATGTTCATTTATCACCAAATGTGAAAGAAAATCCCAAATTTTGGGTTATCCAGAACAGTAACAGAGGGGAAATCTTCCAGCTGGGACACTTACTGGCCCCAAGTAGGAACATTAGATACAATCCCCCT